CGGAGCAGTATGGGTGGTGCATGTGAGATGGGTTAATGATATTATATATTTAATAATAAATTGATTAGGAATAATCATTCGCTAAAGTATGAATATCGTTTTAAGTTAGTGATTGCATGAAGCCATAATTATCATGTGTACACAAATCAATTCTATGATGTAATGTCACAGCGTCTTTCCATGACACCCTTAAGCATAGTTAGTTGCAAATGACAAATCACATCAGCAATTTCGAGAAAGCAACTATGGTCATTACACATCATCTGGTCAAATATAAATAAGTAAAAATAAGCAGATGACAAACATTTTGAATAGATTAATGCCGGAGTTGCGGACACACATTATTTTCTATAGTATGACCCACAAAAATTTGTTAAGGAGACATAATAACCGGCAAGAGGATGCCTGCCCGTATGTGTTAAGCGTAGACAGACGGAGTTCAATTTCTCAGATGATGACTAGATGCTTTTTTGCGGTTTACAATGCCATCTTGAATAATTAGTCGACCCAAAAAACGACAAAACAACTATTTATGCTACCTATAATTTGTATTTCGGTTTTCAATTTTAAGTTTTGAATTCAATTTTCAATTTTTTGTTTTAAGTGCACATTTTAAGATGGAAGAAAACGTGTTTGATTTATCATTTTAAAAAATATTTTTCAGAACAGAAAACTGAAAAATGTATTTTTTTAAAGAAATTGAATTTATACATATATTTTTAAATACTTAAAATATTGTGGGGTGATTGTCACCACCTTTGGCTTTGTTTGAGTGGTTGATGCAGATCGGATGCTAGCAATTACAATAAGATGCAGAGCTAGGGCTGCACTAAGAAGTTTTTATTTTGGGCTACTATGTTGTCAAAAAAAATCACTATAAAAAAATTACTTTAAAACTCAAAAACAAAGTTTTGAAGAGTAATTTTTTTGAGAATGTATGGTTAAAAAGTAAGGAAAAATTTGGATTTATATATATAATATTAGAGGTGTCCAAAACTTCCGAATCGAACCGGACCGAACCGAACCCGAATCGAGCGGTTCTTTATAAATTAAATACCCGAACGGGTACCCGAATCGAGAACCGATGGGTTTGGGTCGGGTCTCGGGTCTAGACCAAGAACCGAATAAAAACCAAAACTAAATAATTTTTTTTATTTTTTATATTGAATTAATTAAATTATTTTATTTTTTTCTAAACAAATTAGCAAATTAATTAAATAAATCAGATTATTTCATAATTTTAATTTTAAATCCCAAATCATTTTT